CGATTTGCTGGTCATGCATCTCTCTCATCTGCTGCATGGCCATCTCCATCTCGAACTTGAAAGCTTCCTTCTGCTTAGTCAGGGCATCTTCAAGCATCTTGTTTACTTGTTCGGCGCTGATCATAAGTGGTTCGTAAGGCTGTCCCGCACTAGACGCCGTGTCATCGGATGCTATAGCCGAGTAGGAGTTTGAACCAGCATCTGACGCCTCCTCTTCCAAAGGAAGTCTCTTTTGCATCCTTTGGTAATTCTTTCGCCTATTGATCCCTGACCGCAATCGAGTCATGCGTTGGGATACTTCGGCAAGTTGATCTGAGCTAGAGTGTCGTGTCGATTTCCCTCTGCCGGTCATATTAGCAGACACCTCTAGGAACTCGTCCTCTTGGCGGTCAGGCTTCTTCCTACGGAAACGCCTTGGCTTGGTCTCAGACGTTCTAGTGGAAATTCTCTTGAACACCGAAACTCTCCTTGGGGCTTTAGTGCAGCAACATTCTGACAGCACCGCCTTGATTATGTTGGCACACGGACAGTGAGAATCCATGTCTTTGGTGTTTCTCTTCCGAGACTTATCCATACCCCCAGCTCTATAGTACAACTCGTCAGTTTGATAACTGGAGCAACTCATAGAGTGTTGGCATGACTTCCCAGGTATAACACCATCATCATCAGATGAATGTGTTTCCCTCTGGGGATACGACGCTTTATTGTTTGGCAAAAACCTGTGGCTAAAACTTAACGGGCTCTTGAACTTCGACCCGCAATCTAATGCGGTCGGTAACAGGGGCTTTCCCTTTGTTATCTTTCTTGGGGGGATTAGCACGACCCCCAGTCTGGTTTGTTGTTTGGGAACCTTTCAACGGTTTCAATCGCTCCTTGACAGGTGCCTTGCCTCGATCTTCTGGTAAAGGGTCGAGGCGACCTTTCAAACGAACCCTGAATCTTGAAGAATCCACGTTCCTACCTGGCTCCGCCGGAGGTGCGGGAGCAGGGGAAACGGGATCTGAATTTGAAGAAGGCTGGACGCTACTTCCGTCCACTTTTGTTTTAGGTGTCGGCTTCGCCTTTGGCACCCACACCTGCTTGTGTTTTGACGGCTTCTTGACCGTCTCTTCATTCTGCATCTCTTCCGCTTTCTGCAGAAGGACTCGGGCATGCGCAAGCAATGCGCGGCGTTTCTTGATTCGCTCTTCGAGGGTTGAGCGAGTCCTCTTGACACGAACCCATTCGTTCGTCTCTGTCTTGGAGGAGGAGTTGGTTGTTCGCCGTTGTTGCACCTGGCGCTGTCTGGACTTTAGATCCTCATTGTAGCGGATCCCGTCCATCGATTCTGCGGCCTTGGCCAACTGTCGCGCAAGGCGTTGACGCCGTCTTTGGCGCGCCCTCTTCGACAAGGTTGGAACACCTTCAGCAGTTGACTTTGCGGCGGAAGGGAGATCTGGATCTGCGGCTTCGACCACGTTAGAGTAAGTGCAACGGCGGCGAGGGGATCTTGGATCTTCGATCCTGAGGGCCCGCGAGCACTCTTGGAAGATGAAATCTTCCTGCGCCTGTTTGGAGAGGCGGATCTGGAGGAGGAGGAAGAGAGGTACTCTTCAAACTTCTGTTGATCGAACTCGTATTCGATCTCTTCGTTCACCCGGATCTTGAAGGCCGGCTGCATCACGACGGCCTCGGCAGCGAGGCCGTGGGCTCCCACTGTGGTCGCCAGTTTGTTTTCGTCGAAAGTTACCTTCATTATTGATTTCATTAAAACTTTAAACGTTACAAATGAATTCAAACAACAAAGAAATAAAGATTACAACTTTTTTGAAAATAAACACAAGATCCGTTCGTCGTCTCTTGCTTGCGTGGGTCTTTAGCCTGTGACGGGGATGTTGATATCCGTGGACTACCTGGCAATCAGATCTGGTCCAGAGCTTCGTCGATCCGCGAAGAGATCTAGAAACTTGAAGCGCCTATCTCGATAAAAGCGAGATATTTGCTCTTCTTAGTATTACCACAACGGGATAATACTAAGGATCGGGTACGGGTGATGTAGATCTGACGAAGAAACTCTCGTGCGTTGAAGTGCTCGATCACTCTTCACTCCGACAGGGCTTCGCCAATTCTCCAAAACTCCAGATCTGAAAAAAATGAGGCCTAAGGCTTGTATTTATAGGCATGAGGGGTTGCGGAGCGGTTAAAACCACTTAAAGGGATCAAATCCGTGCTGAGACACCCTTGGGGTGTCTCGGACAAACCGAGACACCCTTGGGGTGTCTTAGCCAAACCGAGACACCCTTGGGGTGTCTCGGTTCCAAGGCCGAGACTTTCCCCCTCCCTCTCTCTTTTTTGAACTCGGATCTGAGTGATTCCAAATGCGTTGGAAGTCTGACGAAGAATTCTATCAGTTCCAATGGTTAGATTATCTGTAGAATGAACGAGACACGAAGGGCGTTGTTCCTTTTGTAAACATCGCGGGGTTCTCGATTAGCCTATGTCTTCGTTATTCCGAAATCCTATCAGCTCACGTAGTTCGTCGGTTCACTTCAAGCGTTCACCGACATCAGTCGAACTCCTGTGAACCAGATAGTGATGTTCATTGTCGTTCTTTAATACTGAGCTGTTCGTGGAGACCCATAGGCAATTTTCGATGCCTACAGACCTTATTCGTCACAGATGGTTGTTCATACATACTAGATAGCGCAGCCATGAGATCTGTCGTCGAATTCTGATTCTTGATGTTGAAAGCTACAGATTTGAACAGGGTCAACCTAATTTCTCCAAGGGCCTTCCAATCTAATAGCTTTCACTCTTCATCCTTCATATCTGTTGGCTTCTCTCCCAATGGCAGATATAGATCCTTCTGATAGAGGTAGTCTTCCATCTGCATCTTCTAGAACCCGAAGTTTCTCGCATCAAACTTCTCGATCTTGAATGTTTTCTTCTCAGATCCCATGTCTCTGATCTCAAATTGCCTACGCCAAACCTGGTCGCTCTAATACCAATTGATAGGGTTTTATCTAACCCCCTGATACAATTTGGAAATAGAGATGAGAGAGAAGGGAGAGAAAACAATCACACAAAACACACAAGATTTACATGATTCACTTCTCGATGTGAGAAGCTAAGTCTACGGCCACCGCAGGAGAAAATTTTACTATTTTTGTCAATCTTACAAGTTTCCCTAATCTCTCCTTTAATAACATAATGGTTATTACAAACAAGATTCTAAAACAGTTTAGCAAAAAAATGAGCCTAGGCCCAAAAAACCCGACCCGCGATCGACCACAGATACAGTCACGGTCGATCCCAAAAAATACTGAGACCAAATCTGATTACAAGGTTTGGCGCAGTTGACCGCAAAAAGTGCAGAGACTTTTTCGTGGACCTGTGCACGTTCGCGATTGACCGCTGCACCACTCGCGGTCAATCGTGAAGCCTCCAGGTTGATTCCTTCGACGTTTTGCCTTAACTTCATCACCGTCATTCCTGTTTCTCCAATTTCTCATGTTTCCTCTTCAAATAAGGTATAGGGCAAATCAGATAGTTAGGCTCCACATATCCTAACATCCCCATCACCCACGCCCGCCAGCTCAGCAAGACCCTCCATCTGATTACCACAGATTCCACATACCTCCCCGGTCTTCCCCATCTGATCCCCAAACACGTCTGAGTATGAGTTCTTCTCATTCTCAAGCTGTCCCCCTTTGTTCCGGTGATAAGATAAGCTATCCTCGGCGGCTCCGATTCCAAAACCGCATTCTCATCCAAAGACTTCATAGGGTTTGAATCCAATGCATACCCATCAGAATCATCCAAACCAGTGAATGAAATTATATCCAACGACAATGAATCTCCATTGGACTGAGATGAGAAAAGCCCAAAACCTGTGGCTAAAAAGAGGGTTAGAGATACTATTAAGCTAGCAAAGAAGGGGAGGAACCATCTTTTGTCACTAAATGGTCTCCCTAAGTGATTTCCCCTATTTTTCCTCATAATTCTTTGATATCCAGATTCAAATAAATCATTTACAGCATTAACCTCCTGAAAAGCTAACACCAAAAATTAAACATGGAGACCAATTTTAGTTATAATCTCTGAATCCAGACACCAAAATCTCAACTTTAGCAAGCAGAAATGAACAGAATCACTTCAGATGATAGTTCTGCTTCATGAGTCTGACGAAATCAGGGTAAAAACTCAAAAATTCAAGGCGCCCCCTCCTCCACCACCACTGCCGCCAACCCCACCCTCTCCTCCTCCCCTTTATCCACCCCAAAATTGATCAATCCCTACCGATCCAAGAACCTAAACACCTTCTCAGTCGACCCTACATCTCCAATCAGAGACTTCCTCACCTCAGTAAACGTCAGCCTTCGAGACGGCTCCTCGCAAAATCTATTGATGATGAAGTCTCGGGACTCCTTGTAAACCCTAGGGTTCCTCGAATACGAGCTCCCGTCGAAGAATTCAGGAAGGGATCTGTGCTCCGTCTCATGGATCGAGTCCCAGCTGAACCAACCTAATCGAAATTGGGAGAAAATTAGGAATTTAGTTAACCCTAACCCTAGGAGAGAGAGAGAGAGAGAGAAGGAGAGTTAGAGAGAGAAAGAGAGCATGAGTTATTTGATTGGGAGAGGTTGAAGAGGAGGTTTAGGAGCAACATGAGTTATTTGATGAGGGGGTTTTGTGCAAAAAATCCAGCCAGCTGGACATCACGTGAGTCGTCACGTGAGAAAACTGATCGGAAAAATCAATCCAGCCAAACTTAAGGGGTATATGTCGCCGAAGTCTACAAAATATATCAATTTGTCAAAAGTGACAAAAATATACCAGTATCTCACCGAGTGTCTACAAAATATACCAATTTGACCATTTTGCCCAAATAAAAGCATAGTGGGGACTAGCAAAGCTAGTGGCATTTTTTGTTATTTACAGGAACCTCAGGGGCAATTGAGGACCTATCTGTTCAAAAAGCAGGTGCCGCTTCCTTAAAAAGAAGTCTTTTATTCCCCGAACCCAGGTCTTGCTGTCTCTCACTCCCTCTGTTCACAGTTTCACACTAATTTTTCACTCTCTCGACTCTACTGAGACCTGATCTAAGCTTGAGGCAAAATTTTAATGGCCATGGACGAAGGCAAGAGCTCTACTCTTGTCCACATCTTGGTGATTGCTCTTAGTCTCACTGCCTTCGGCTTCGCCATCGCCGCTGAGCGCAGAAGGAGCACGGTAAGGCCTCCTCTCATTCTACTCTTTAGATTTCTTTTGTGTTCAGAAGTGAAATTGATCGTTTCCCTTTCTTGGTATTGAAGATCTGACTGTTTTCTGGTAAAAAGTTTGGATCTTGGGTGTGCCCAATTGCAAATTGAAGGGGGGTAGTTTGTGATTTTGTGTTTTGAGGGTTGGGTGGAGCTTTGGTCAGTGCAATGTTGAATAGATGAAATGTTTATGCTGTAATCATGTTGTTTGTTGTTGGACTTTTTGTTGGGTAATTTATTGTGGAAAAAATAGGATATTTTTTGGGGATAATGAGGTTATTAGGGTTTTCCCCCTGACAGGTCTTTGATTATGTAGTTAGAGGTTAATTATGTGGTTTGATGCAATTAGGAATGTTGGTCTTAGTTAAAACCGATAATCCATAAACTTGGGGGAAAAGGATCATCCATAAATGAACTTATTACTTTTTAAGTTTTTGATTGCTTATAGTTTCAATACCAAGTGGTTTTTGGTGTCAATTGTAGGAATTTAAAGGTAGTAATTGGCGTGAGAGATGTCCACACCGAAAAAAGACTGATGTGTTTGGAGTTTAGGAGCGACCAAGTGCCAATTATATGGGATTTGTTGTTCCCATTAGATATTTTATATGGTTACTGAATTGTAAGGGGGAAGTCTTTTTAGTATTTGGTTATCATAGAGCTGTTGACTTTGGGTAATAGTTTGAATGATCGTTGACTGTTTACAATACATAATTTGAATGAGAAGCCACCAGTGGCGGACCCATGCCTGTTCACACTGGTTCAGTTGAACCACCTGATTCTGGAGAAGTTTTAGAGTATTTTCAAAAAATGAGTACAAGAAGATATGAATTGTAAGAGCTTTAGTCTTGTATGTAGCTACTTCTGTAAGTTTTTGTTACTTCTCTACACTAGTGGATGAATGTAAAGTATGCTACTGATGTTTATCAATATGGAGTAGCATTTGTCTTTAAAACTAGCTACTACTTGTTTTGTTGCAAACTTGCAATATTATTTATCAATATGAAAGAGTATCATTTTGTCTTTAAAGTTAGCTGCAGATTGTCTTTTTACAGGATTTAGTAGAATTTTTTTCATAAGGTGATAGTGTTTGGGAATATTTTGAACCAGCGCCGTTAAGGCTGTAGATCCGCCACTGGAAGCCACTTTATAACTTTGTGACTACTCAACATTTGCCTATACGATATCTATCTCTAATCAATTTGCTAGTTGAATTAGTTATTGGAGAAACAATTATGCTAGCTATACACTGTGCTTTACAATGTGATGTTCTGAATTATGCTAGCTATACATTGTGCTTTACAATGTGATGTTCTGTCTCTACACATTTTGTAAATTACTAACCAATTACTTCTTGCTTTCTTTGAATTTTCTTACAAATCTCATGTCTATAGGATGAATGTGCTAGTTATAAAGGTGGATAAGGTAACCTTTCCCAGAATTTGCAGGTCGAAGCATCTTAACATAAACAAACCCGCTGTATGATTCACTTTTCTTCATAACATGACAAAGTTTTGATAGATTATGTCCTGTCCCCATATGTTTATTTAAGTCATTGCATTAGACTGTTGCTGAGGACTTTCACTTGCAACATGTTCCTTTTACTTATTTCAGAATCCAGATATTCTTATTGAATTTTTCGCCTTTCTACTAACAAACAAATCAAGCTTCTACTCCTACAAGTGTTCTTTTCTTGCTAGCCTATTGTATCTTAGTCTAGTAGAGTTTTCACTGTTTGCTCATTTGTTTCACGAGCTTATACTGCAATTGAACTGCATGATTAATAACGCACAGTTCCCATTGTGAACGTGAACAGTGCGAGACAGTGGACAGTGTCTCGGCGCTGTTCACCCGAGACAGTGAACAGTGTCTCTGCACCGTTCACCCGAGAGCGGTTTGGGCTTTTTTTCTTGTGGTTTTGGGCCCTATTTTCTTGGTTAAATAGGAACTCGTTCCTAGGGTTTTCTAAGGGGTTTTGCGGCTGTTTTGAGAGAAAAAAATAGAGTTTTTCAGATCTAAAAGGTGAGATTTTGAGGAGAGAAAAAAAGAGCTTGGAGAGATTTTACAAGAGAGGTCAATTTCTTTTGAGTAAAAAATCATACCTTCATCTTTGGGACGAGCTTGTGTGTTGTATAAGTCGTCGGTGTTCTCCTTATAGTGGAATCTCCCTTCACCCCTCCCATGGACGTAGGCAAGTTTGCCGAACCATATAAATCTCGTGTCTTTATTTTTTTTCTGGGTGTTGGCTATAGCTTGATGATTTTCTCGATATTCAGACCTAGATCTGATATTGGGAAGAGTGTATCTCACTTTGTTGAGATATATTACTTCTGTTCTTGTTTTCTTTGTGAATCAGGAATATAGAGGTTGATTTGAGCTTTTGTGAAAACAAAAGTAAAGGCTTTCTGGGTGATATCGCTCCCGCGGCGTGACGGCGTGACTCTGCGTCCAACACCCATATTTCATTTCCATGCTACATATCTAAGTAAATGCAGGAGAAACGCCAAAATTTACTTATTAAACACAATATATATGGAAAATGAACAGTTTTCCCAATAGAAGTTTTTTTTTTTTGTTTGAATGAGGTAAAGAAGTTTATGCTAAAATTATCCAAAAAAATAAAAAATAAATAAAAAAATTCATGTGTATCTACGATAAAGGTAAAGAAATATTGGGGTGGGTTTATCCCTTTCACTAGCATATTCAAACCAGTAGGTGTTCTTTTAGAAGATACTAGATTTTATGCACGTGCAATGCACGTGGTTAAATACTGTGATTAAGTATTTTTGGTTTATTTTCTTACTAAAGTTTGTTTCTCGGTTACTCTTTGATAATTTTTGCTAACTTTGATCAAATATTTTTGGTTTATTTTTTTACTAAAATTTGTTCCTCGATTACACTTTGATTATTTATTTATTTGATGTTTGTTTGAATAGGTTATACCCAGATAAAATTTTTATGTTGATAGTTAAATTGTCAATAGATAAATATAATCTAAAACCAATTTAAATTTTTATTTTATTTGGATCGGCATGAAACCGAGCTTGACCTGAGGAAGTATAGTGTTATAAAAGTGAAAACACTTGAAAACATTATAAAAGGAAGATGAATAATAAAGTCAACGAGTCAAGATGATTGATTTAAAGTGGACTAAAATGACGGAAAATAGTTAATGAAAAAAATCATAAACTGAAGATTAATGCTAACTCTAGTATACTTTTATATGATAAAAACATCCACATATGCATATGAAAACACTAAAAATAATTTATGAAAATCCCTTCTAAAGGTTCCTAATTTTACTAAAAAAATAGAATTATTCTATAACAATTCATATAACATTATCTTTTGTTGTTTCTATTTTATTTTTTATTGAGTCGAGATCAATTATTCTTCATCTTTATCTTTTCCTAGGTAATTCTAGAGTAGTGTCTTCATCGTCTATATCGATTGTGATATGAGACTGGAGCATGTTATCTTTCCTTGAGCTCATTCATCTTTTGTCTTCTCGTCTAAATTCACAAAGAAGTTGAATATATTTCTTATGTTCAACACAAATTTCTGACAATATGGACTTTGATTTTTTTTCTATTTCAATAAGAATAAATGTTAATTTTATATATATTAAAACTTTTGTGCTTTTAATTTATTACTTAAATAAGGTTAGGAGCTATCTCTTTTTTTTATGTAATGAATTCTTTTGTTGTGCATCCAATAAGAATTTTTACTGTGTCATAATGTTACCTTTGCCCTGTCTGTGTTATTTTCCATGAGGATTTGAACTAAATACTTTACATTTTTTATTATCAATTTGCTTTAGTTTATAATATTAATATTTAATTTTGATATATTTATTTCATGAAGAAGAAATATCACTTATCATTGGTACTACATCATCGGCGATTCTACACTATTTATCACCTGGACACTTATTATTAACATCTCTATCCACTTTCTTGTTATAGCCTTTGCAAACATAGAACCACTGCTCAACTCTATTATAAATGGTAGTTATCATTGCCTTAAAGGTGCGATAGTGTGTTTGTATATTTTGGTAAATTATTCTTAGGTTTTAATTGTATGAATTTTGGAGTAGGTTTTCTAAGATCATACCTCTTTCAAATATTATAATTGTTGTATATATTAGTAATTTGAATTTTTACTGTATTTATAAAGAGTCTTAATAGAGATGCTTTTGTCTTGGCAGCTTATTCTAAAAGAATGTTGCATATTAGCTTTAAAATATAATATTTTTTATTTATAGTGTTATATGGATGTTTGTTAGGTTTGCTTACTAATCTCTTATTTCTTCAGTAAGTTATATATTTGGATTGATATATATTATTGACGCAATTTACGATGACATGCATATCTCCTCTATAAATTTGAGACAGATATAAGGTGAATTTTATATTTAGTGATATTTAATAAGAATTTTAGTAATGAAATATACTACCTTCATATTTAGAGATCTTGAATTCCAATGGTGCTATTACATCATTATCTTTGATTATGTCTTTAAGAATTGATCGTTTGTTAGTAGTCATGCCCCTAAATAAAGTCACAAGCAGGGTCGTGACACTACATAAGAAAAAGAAAAAAGACGATTTTATATTTTTTTGCTTACACAGAGTCATGACATGGTAATTTTTTTTTTCATGAAGAATGTTTCTTTGATTGGAATAAAGATGTTCAATATATTCTTCAGGAGGTATTCAGTCGGTATTTCTTTGATAAATATAACTTATGCTAGTGTTAATTGAAGTGATTCATGGACATTCTGAATTCCATTTGAAATGAAAACCATTTGATTCTTTAAAGGATATCTCTAAATTTTCTAATAGTCCTACATACATAAATCTTTATAATTTTTTACCCTATAAATATTATTACCATTAGATATCAATATTTATAGATTATAATCAATTAATGTTAAGCTATTGTAGTATAGTTTTTTATCAGTTTTTTGTGATTTAGTCTTCTATCAATTAATGATACTTATGTATTTTTGCTGCTCTTAACATATTGGTAAAATTATATGCAATTACTTTAATTTATACAATAACATTAATTTTTAATCTATTATATATTTTTTAAATGTTTATTCTTTAACTGGATATTTTTAATCTGTTATTATTACTATTTTTTTACTAGTATCAACTTGACTATTTTCAGATTCTAAAAAGGGATAGTAAATCTTAAATTATATGTTATATTTATATTTATATATCTTAATGAAAGAACATCACACAATTATTCTTTTCTTTGACAAGTTCTAAATTTTTAGTTTTTTATTTTGTGTAATTTTAAACTTTTGAGAGTATTTTGTCTAGTTTTTAAAACTTTTTGTTTTTTTGTAATACTTCATGTAATAAGCTGATACTACGGAGCTGTTTTATATATTTTATTAATCTTATTTAAATTGTTGACATATAGATAGTTCATGGGGTATTAGGATAAAATATAAGTATGATTAGGATAAATTATAATTTAAATTAAATATTTAAAGTAGCACATGATAATTTTGACTATGGAAAGCTTTTCCCGAACTCGTGTTTTTAAAGGGAGTATCATTTTTGTTTTCCTTAATTTTTCTTTTTTATAATTTAGAGAATGACTTTTGTCTCTTTAATTTGTTTGGTGGATTATGTAAATATCTCATCCACATTATGTAGTTTTGTAGGTCTACTTTGTTCCCGGGTTCGATCTTTGGGGTAGACATTATTTGTCTCATTAATTTATTTAGTTTTTGCATATACGCCATTCATTTTGTAGACATTTGTAAATTTGGCATTTAATAATTTTATTTAGATTTACATTTCAATTTAAACTGTATCCTTATCTTCATACTATGTATATTCAATAAGAATTCGTTAATTTATTAACTTACTCTTAATGGAATAATATTTGAATTCCAAGAGTATTTTTGTCTATCGAAAGATTTTTCTGAACTCGTGCTTTTATAAAAGGGAGTATGATAATGTGAGATTACTCTCTGTACCGAAACAGAATTACTGAAGTCAAAAAGATTCCTGATATCTTTAATACATGTCATAAATCCTTGTACATCCCTAACTGATATGTATGCCTTACTAGTAACTCCAAAAGACAAAATTTCCTTCATCAAATTTATTTCTCTGTTATTCTTTTGATTGATTATATTGAATTACAAAATGATGGGATTGGCATGTTTATATTAACTGGATATGGCTGAAAGAAAGTATCAAGATTGTTATAAAAAGAAACCAACAGGATGACAAGTAACTAGGTGAAATAGCAGCCAATTCATCGTTCGGGCAGTTCTTCTTCTTTGATTACCTGATGTGAAGAGCCATTCTACTAATTTGACTGTAACCTAGCTTTTGCAATACCACAGACGTGGCTTCTCAAGCTCACCTTATTTTCCTCAAGGTCTTTTAAGATAATATTGAATTTGGATCCCCTCTACCACCAAAAAAGTACTGGAGAAATCACTACTTTATAGCCAACCATTGATTTGTGTATTGGATAGTTATGATTCATTACAAATCTAGCACTCACCATACTGTGTGAATTGCATTCGTTCCTAATTTACACTCAGAAGACAAATCAAAACAACCCTCTAAATAAATCAACGATTATTAACAAGATGTTGGTCTCTCCACTACTTTTGGTAGTGGAAAGGATCTTACTCTGATATATTTCACGTAAAATTTTTGTTAACATTCCAAGTATATAACTTTCCCCTTACTTCTTAATTTATTGGGAGTTCTCGGTACTTTCTTTGAGGGCAGACTTCTCGTTGAGGGTTGAGGTTTTTAAGTTTATATTCAGATGCTTCTGCAAGTCGAGTGCCCTCTTTTGGTATCGGTTTTTTTAATAAAATCTGCTTTAAATTCTTTATTCTTGGCTGGTGAGGATTGAACTTGGGTTGCTCTAATATCATCTTAAAGACCTTGCCACGACCACGAAACTCTGAAGTTGTGATGAGAGTTGAGGTTTATAATTTTATTTTCTTATTTCTCATTGAAGGGTTTGTTTGGTCTTGAAGTTTGAACAACTAGTTCTTCAACAACTAGTTCACAAAGTTGAGGCGAATATTCATCGGCCAACATGAGTTATATTTGCAGCAGTACTTTGAAGAAGTAAATAGCAGTAGGAAGTGTTCTGAAATAGCTATGAAATCTGAATTTTATGCCATTTAAATGAGATACTGTTCCTTTATCTTTATCAAATGCGTGTTACAGTAATCATTCTCACTTTTGCTCTTACATTGCAGGGTGAGATTGTTCACGATCCTCACAATATCACCTTTTGTGTTTATGACTCTGATGTTGCAACTGGCTATGGAGTTGGTGCCTTCCTCTTCCTCTTCTCGGGTCAGTCTTTGCTTATGGGTATCACAAAGTGCTTGTGCTTCGGCAAGCCTTTAGCCCCCGGTTCAAGTCGAGCCTGGTCTATCATCTACTTTGCTTCCTCCTGGTGAGCTGATTTATCCAATCTATCTTCTCAAAGCAAATTTTTCGTCATTGCTAATCGTTTAGATCCTCTATTCTGTAACAAAATTTCGATGTTCTGGTGAGGGTTGAGGGGTAAATTGTTTACTATAACATGTTGAAGATCCTCTTCATAGACCAGAATAAGGGATATTTTAGTAATACCTTTTTCAAGAAGAATCTGCTTTAAATATGTTTCTGGTGAATTTAGAACGTGTTTTGCTTTGATATTATGTTAAAATCCTCTCATTAGATCAAAATCCGAAGCTGTGATGGGAATTAAGTTTAATTTTCTGAGTTACTCGTGACCATGCCCCTCTATATGTTGGTCTCTCCGAAACTTTATGGGTTAATTGCAAATAGACCCCTTGTATTATCATCCAATTGCGAATACATCCCTTATAGTTTGATTTTTGCAGATAGACCCCTTGAGTAAAATTTTGACTATTTTACCCTCAGAGATAAAATTGTTTTTTGACGAACGGGCATCTTTAGGCTAAAAGAGAAAATAATCTCTCAGGGGTTCTATCCGCAATTGTGTGATAATACATGGGTCTATCCATGACAATTGAACAACAGGGGGTCTGTTCACAATTAACCAAAAATACTTTTTTAGCGTTTACACCTCCAAAGCCCAAACGATGTTATTTGCCCTCAAAACACAATTTAGCAGGGGCAGCCTGGTGCACAAAGCTCTTTTTATGAGTGTGCGTGGTCTAGAAAGGGATCGGGTCATTTTGGAGAAAAGGTAATTTATTGTCTCGTGATTCCCACTTGATATCTCAACCTAACTTGAGAAATGATATCCTTTGTTGCACAGAGGGTCCACGTGCTAATAAAATACTTTAGAGGGTATAGGATGGTGCAAGTGCAAGGTTGTATCTTATGTCAACTATAATATGATATTCTTACTAGTCTAACTCATTCTGCAGGCTGACGTTCTTAGTTGCGTCTGCGTGCTTAATAGCTGGAGCGACGAAGAATGCATACCACACAAAATACAGGCACATGATACATGCTCAGAGCTGGACTTGCGAGTCATTGCGCAAGGGAGTGTTCATTGCCGGAGCGGTCTTCATTATATTGACCATGTTCCTCAATATATACTACTACATGTACTTTGCTAAAGCTACAAGTCAAGCTGCGCGTAAAACCAACAGGTCGAGTTCGACTGTTTCAATGTCTGGATATGCTTAAAATCACCGCATCAGGATTTTAGTTTCCTAGAATTGTAGCTTGAAACCTTATAGACATTAGCGTATGTTTTGTATTGTGCAATGTTTATTAAGGTCACATGTGTAGATGGGTTGAGGGGAACATTGATGTCGATATGAGTAAGAGTAGCTACTTAAAGTTGGGGAGTTTTATGTTTCAGCAATTTATAACTAGTGTAATGATGACATAGTCCCTTCAATGTTGTTGACCTATGTCTGAAACTCTTGATCGATATATGTGATTTATTGGAAAAGTTGTATACGTGGATATGTCGGTGTGTATCTTCTACCGCCGGAGCTTTTGGCTGCTTTATGTTTATATGCTGTACGCTTGTTTACTGCTTAGAGGTTCATATATTACTTTTGGTGTCTTTTGAGTTCAGGCTTCAGCTCAAAAAAATTGCGCCCAATTTGCGGTGGTATGTTACAGTGTCAAAATATAAATGTCAATCATTACCATAATTTCAGAGTTATGATCTAATGATACGATGTCTATTCAAGGAGTTCTAGCGGCACACAAGTTCAGCGAGTGTCCCTACAATAGAGGGACACATGTCCGAAAACGAAAATTAACTCTAAAATTAATCCCAAACCCAACATTTGCCTATCTAATCGCGCAAGGGTCTAAGGGCAGTCGTGCTCAGCCGCTGCCCTTGGACTTCTTCTGTCTAAGGGCATCAAGTTAGCGACGGCTTCTAAAGTCACACTCTCTCTTTCATAAACCCCATTATACATTGCTCGTTAAGGGGTCTCACTCCAAGAGATTGGTATTTGCTCACAGAAATCCAAATACTTTTTGACATTTCCCGTTCATCTTGTGTATTGTGAGATATTATGTTAGGATTCATATTTTGGATGTGTTGAGTTTAGCACATTTCCCCTTGCAACTTGTCCTTTTTATAGATTTATAATTAAACTAACCAATTAGGAGCGGAAATGAACCAAATAATTAGAAAAAAAACTGTTCAGCTATTATTCATCTAGACATTCCGTCATTGTGTGTCATTGATGTTACCAGATCTCGAGATCGAGAAAAAAAAAGTCGTAGTGGAGGCTGCTATTAGAAGATTAGAGGAGCAGAAGGTTGTGAAAAAAGGTTAAATTTCTTATAATTTATTTGTTCTAAATACATTTGCGTGAGATTCCACTAATAAAATATTCTTGCATAAGATGGTATGCTTGAGGTTATCTTTAAAAGGGTATTGAAGTATAATGGGTCCAAATATGCGGTTACATCTACGTTCAATTAATTTGCATAGCGGATTAATTATGTATTAAATCAATATAGTTTGAGAATAGTCACTCGATTGTCAATATCATTCTTAAACTAATTAAGATGGTATCAGTAAAAATCTAATTAAGCTCATAATTAAACCAAAAACTAACCAACAATTGATAATGAGTTGATTGTACCGAGATTTCAAAATATGAATACTCATTGAAGAAATTTGTAAAAATGTATTTTCTTTTAATGCTGGAATGTGTTAATAAATTTACATTAGTGAATTTAGAGATATTATAGTTTATTTAGTTTATTAATGCTCCAATTATCCCATGAGTCTTGGCATTCGCCACTACTTGCCTAGTTGCCTCCCAAGAAAAGGTTACCCAACCAAAGTTTTGTGTGATCTTCAAACTTTATCGTAGACGACAAAACTTGTTTTATTAAGCTCTGGGAGACATTGTTATGGCTCCCAGGCATACTGATGGGCTTGATTGAAGGTTTCTTCCAATATCTCAACAACAAATATGGCCGTAGACAATAAATGAAACAAAGTTGAGTTCCAAATATATATTTGATAGAACACACTATTATATATATACTATCTAATGGACTGTGAAACAAAATTGAGTTCCAAATATTTGGTAGAACACACTGCTATATACTATCTAATAAGCTGTAAGGAGCTAAACTGGTTAATTGCTTTTTTGGAGGACGCAAATTCCATACTTTTGACTAATTAAATTTCCCTTCTCTGTTAAATAAACATATATCATTGTAGATATATATAGGTATATATTAAAAGTAACTAATTAATTCTGTCCATCTCTTCTAAAGAAACCATCAAGTTTATCACTGTATACTAATAATTCTGTCCATATAAAATCGTCCACTATTTAAATATGTATAAATATCAAATATTTCAGCATAAAATAACTGAATTACAGGTAACAAAAGTAGGAGCACTGTTTGTGTAATTTCTGATGGATATTGAACGGATAGCCAAATAGCTTAGATCTAGTCCATAAATAGGTTCTATAGACTTGAGAATGAAATTACCTTTTTTGGCTTCCCTTTGTCAACCATTAATATAATGCAACAAATTAGTTACAAGTAATCCCTTCCGTTGTAGCTAGAGTCGTGCCAGGTACATGCATTCATCACAATTATATAT